CACTTATTATTAAGTGACCTAAAACCCTGAAAAAAATAAATTTTTAACTTTTAACTTTTCAATTACATTTTTATATTAACTTTTAATTTAATTAATTTCATTATACATTAACTTGTATCTTAACTAAGTTAAATTTTCAAGGTTGTTAACTTTAACTTAACTTACAATTAGTTAAAAAAAAAAGTAACTTACCCAACCCTGTATAGTTTTAATAAAATAGTATCAAAACGATGGTCGTCTGTATGTAAAATAAATTATCTTTTTGTATTAACATAATGTACACCTTATATTTCATTACTTTCTTAGATATGATGTTATTTTATTACTTTCTTAGATATAATGTCAATTTTATTTTATTAAAAAAGTTAAGTTTATATACGATTGTAGACTTTAACTTAGTAAAGATAGTACTACATGGGTTCTAGTTTACATCATGGTTTACTAAACAGCAAATATGATTAATCGGTTCTACAGTCGATTAAGTAATTGGCGTTGGTGAAACTGGCCCAAACGGTTTTTTATCAGAAGCACGCACTCTTAGCGCATTTTCTACCTTTTTTTAAAAAGGTAAAATTTTTTACTTTTTTACGTGGATAGAATTTATTAAGAACTACATAGGTTTTACTATTTAATTTAGTAGAAATTAATAGGAATAGTTACTACATGGGTTTTTAAAGATAGTAAAATTTAACTTGGCGTTACTGATGATATCATATCTTTTATACAAATGATACATGTCATTAGAATTAAGTAAGTGTAATTATGCATTATTCCGGATCTACAATAGAGTTTTTTATATATTACATTAGTAGATATATACAATTATATTTGAAAACATTATGTTAATTAATTAAGTTTGACATAGTTTCTCGTACAGATTATCAACATTAATACTGTATCACTAAATATCCATGTTTAGTGTAACACAATAATATAATTACATAATGAAATTAAAAAATATGTAATAATAAAGAATCAATGCTTGTACTAGTCGAAATTGGATCATGAATAACTTTCTGCGTTTGCGGTAACTGCATCGACCAATCAGAAACTAGTAAAGCGTGAAAACAAATATATCCGATCATCTCCACATGTGAATGTTTAGATCACGATCAAAATTTAGATCGGTTTGTAGTGAAAAAATGGATGGATCGTGGTGATCGTGGTGATTGTATCGTGGTGTCCTTCTGTTTTGCGAGTTTTATTAATTGGTCGGATCCACCATCGTCTTTGTTTCTTTTTCACTAATTGGTATAAACTTAATGCTGCTATACTTAAGGTAAAAAACGAAAACAATAACAAATCTCGATTCTGATCCATTTTCTTCATACAAAATGTGCCACACCACGTGTGTAAAACTGGGAAAAGCTCAGTATCTCGTTTGGATTAGCTAACCTATTATGATTGCGTTTGCGTGAAACGTGCTATCGATGTAGATATACGTGATTTACGACGTACGAATGCGTGGTACGTTGCGTTTGCGTTTGCGAACTGCGTTCTGCGTGTTGCGACTTATTAAGACGGGTCTTAATTAATTCCTTATCTCGAATTGCGCGTCAAATTAGTTTTCCGAACTTATTGTAAAAACGCAACTGTACCACTATAGTAATATTACAAATAAAATTTATTAACAATTTAACAACTTCATGCTTAATTTGCATCATTTTAAGAAGATTTAAAAAAAAATATTGAAAATCTGTTAAATTTAATATAAAAAATATTATCTCGACCGGGAGTCGCGGGGAGTCACTGATGTTCGTTGATAAACCGCGCATATTATAAACCTATGTAATCAAAAATTATACATCGGTATAAAGACATAAATAGAGTCACAATGTTAGTTATCCTTTAACAATACTTTATTTAATCTAATTCGTGATCCACACGATTAAAAGAGCGATTCCGGACGTTTCGGCAATAATTTTTTGCCATCTTCAGCGGTAGATGTTATAAATTCATATTTCGATTGTTTTTTTAAGTTGTCTAAGTATAAGCACAACCCTCGGTCAATGAAGTTTCTCAGCTTATTGGTAACGATACTGTTGTCTAAATGTTATAATATTAAAAATGTTGTAATTTACTTATTTAATTTATATGTATATTTGATCAATTATTATGCTTACTCTTAGATTAACGAAACAAATATTTGCATATACAAAATATATACATATAATATCCAACATAATTGTTCTTATTATTATTTTACACAAAATATATCACTTTAATTACTATACTTCAAATATACTTCTAGTATACTTCTAACCAATTTAATCAGCTAATATAACACGCTGCTCTTAAAACAGAAATGAGAACCATTTACGTTTTTAAACTGACGTTGAAAATTCTATATTTTAGTAACCATTTCAATTGCTGTATGCCTGGAATAAATTCATAAATCTTATGTATATAATAATATATGGATGAAGAATACAATATAAGAAGGTGATATATTTTACATATATTATAAGAAGTAAACATGTATTCAGAAATAAATTCGAGGTAGATCGGATCCATATAGACATCCATATTTGACATTGTATACTAACTATACGACCGTTTTTATATATTATTTTGAGCAGAACTTTTGTACATTCAAAAAATATTTACATACGACAGTCAGTAATGAAACTTGTGAAAGTAAGAATGTATAATATTAGGCTGGCTGAAATTGTAACAAAAATTAATAAAACTCGTATCGAAGAAACGTCAAAAAATGAATGTTTATTGAAATTTTTCCGTCAATAATATATAACGACTCCTTTTATCTCCTTATGTGGAGCATAGGACGTCTATAGACCTCTTTTGTCCGAGGCCTATATTCGTTTCTCGAATCAGATTGTTTTTCGGATTTGTGGATGATTGGTCCACAGAATCCTACCTCAGTCAGATATTAGAGACAAATATCTACTGATATGTATACTACTGATGTATAGGACCTGCAGTTTAACGCCGAACGGCGCTGATGATCATAGATCTTTTGATCACCAGATGGAGCCATTTTTCGGCTCATTAAACGCGAAAAATCATCGCGTTTGGGCGCACGTGAGATTGAACTCGGGTCTACAAATCGCGAGTCAATCGCACAGAGCGGTGAACCACTCGACGCCACAAACTGTCAATAATATATGCAAAATTTTAATTATTTTACAAATCAATATACGTATACTTATGTAAGAAAATATATTTTCATACTGTAAGTACATTTCTAAATACATATAGGGGAGCGAGGGGCTAGTTGTAACAGGGGTAAGTAGTAACACGCAATTTTTACCGGGATTTTGAACTCTTCGACGTCGAATATTTAACACGATCTTAGCCTTATAACTGCCCGCATTACGTAAGCACAACCAATGTTCCGCCAGGTAGCGTAGCAAGTAATTACGTGCACGTGCTGTAATTAAGCCAGGTAATGAAAAAAAAAATTTATTTAAACTTTGATTTTTGATACCTATTGTTATCAATTGTTATAACTATTTTGGGCGTTATACGTTCCTAAATATATCTACCTTTATCATGCTATATTGGTTTTTACTGCTAATGACATAAATTAATATTAACCTCAATTAACCTAGAAATTCATGCTAAGGGGCAAGTTGAAACAATTTCTTGGGGTTATTTGTAACATGTTACAACATGCCAAAACGGTGAGGGCTTCGAAAAGCCAAGATGTCTATAAGTTGGCTGCAGTTGAATAAATAATACGAAATATATGAAATATATGAAAATAATAATTATTTTTGCACTTATCTTTAAAAATAAAAACTCAATCCTGTTAAAACTTCACAAATTTATTATTATTACTACATGTCTCATTGCTGTTACAATTAGCCCCAAACACGGGGCAAATTATAACCGTTTTTTTTTTTTATAAAACGCATGTGTGGGGAAAATGTGTAGGTACTCTTTAATATTTTCTGTTCTGATTTATTGTATAATGATTGATTTCTGGATAAAAGTAATTATAATTATAAAATACTTGATAGGTTTCGTAATATATACAATATTTTGAAAATTGTTACAACATGCCCCTCGCTCCCCTACTATGGATTTGAAACCACATTTTAAAAATATTAATCTAGGTCCACAATCTTAACTGCTTCAAGATGTCGTAAGCTGTAGGATGTAAGTGACAATATATTGATTAGAAAACATACAAATAAGTTTTGTTTAATTCGTTTAAATCTAATAGTTAATGCCTAAATACTGCGCAAAAGCAATTTAAAAACAGAAATTAATGTCATCTAACCACTTTTTTCTTACGGCTTACAACCTGTTGAAACAATGTTGTGAACCGAGGCTTACACGAAGACCTTACTCAACAAAGGTATTTTTTTTTTTGTACATTCTAGCACCACTACATAATTATTAACAGCCAATAAAAAATTGTAATATATAACAATTACTATTCTGCTGAATTTTAGGTAAAAGTCCTATAGTGTTTTACAGATAGTTTCTATTAATTTGCCATATCTTTAGACGAGGGAAAGTTAGTCGTAATTTGATACGTATAACGAGAGAAAATGGAAACGGCAAAAGTGTAAGTTTTTCAAAAAATGTATTGAACGTTAAAACTATATAATATAGGTATGATAAATGGTTAAAATAAGTTTCTGTTATTAATAAAAACAATTAAATTTAAAATTATGAACGCGTCTACATTGAATATGACTGATTGAGATTTCGGTAATCGAAAGGTACGTTATAATAATTTTTGTTTGTTGTTTAACAATTCATTACCATGACTATGCTCGACTTGTTTTCCAATTTTTAACATTTTCATTTTTTTTTAATATTTGGGCCTTCTTACGTTATTAAATAAATTTGATACTAATATTTAAAAGATTTAATATTTATTATTTTAACACTGATATTTTAAAATGTTCTTTGTCTATTTATATTTTTCCGGTTCAATGTAAAATCATTTAGAACGTAATTCCCACAAAATACCAGCTGTACTCTTTTCATTAATGATAACGTTAAAATGTCTCCTAACCTGATATATGTTTAGTTCCAGCAACAACATTGTTCAGTTTACAATTAACGGAAAACTATATACGGGTATGTATTCTTTCGATAAAATGTGTGAGTAAGAAAGTGTGAGAATTTGGGTTATGTTATTAAAATGCTAAGTAACATAAAATAGAACTCAAAGAAATCCTAGGAATATAAATACATTATAAATATCTAATCAGAAGCTGTAACTTTTATTTATCATTTAGTGATAAAATCCATCTTATTAGGTCCAAAAATTTGTCATATAAAAAGAATTATACAGAAAGTATAAAACTAAATATCTAATTATATCAGATTCATAAATAGAAGATAATATGTACGTTAAACAAAATTATACTTTAATTATATAATTACAAAAAAACTGTTTCCAGTATCCGATGATAGTATTCCCATTAGAACGTCCCTCCTTCTCTACATTCGCGAATATGCTGGTCTTCGTGGCACAAAAGCGATGTGTTACGAAGGTGGTTGCGGTGCTTGTATCGTAAGTGTAAGGTCCAAAGGCAAAATAATAGCTGTAAATTCCTGTCTTGTACCGGTACTTATCTGCGACGGGTATGTATATGTATATATAGAAAGAAAAAATATTAAAACTTAAAATTTCTGATAATTATTTATTTGTGTGTTTTGTGCGCAACTGCGGAAATATCTTCTTAAATACATGAGCAAATAGTCGTCGAAATATTAAAATCTTTATCTCTTTTACATTTTTATTTATTTTGTTTCTTATTCCAATTTTTTTATTTCTGAATATACTAAGTATATGTTAATATTAATTAAAATTTCGTACCATATAATGTCGCAGATGGTATATTGAAACCACTGAAGGTATAGGAAACAATCGAGACGGTTATCACACGGTTCAATCTGCGCTGGCTAGAAAAAATGGTTCGCAATGTGGATACTGCTCTCCTGGCATGGTGATGAATATGTATAGGTACGAAATATCAAAATGGTCAATTACTTTGTAATTTTTAAAAAATATTATGTTTCGGTTATATTATTAATAATTTTACCTCTTAATCTTAATTGTCTAAACAAATAAATAGTAACTTAAAACCACGATTAAACTTGTACAATACTGCTATGTATAATTCAAGTAAAAATAATATTAAATTAAGTATATGTGTGTAATTGAACGATTGTGAAGTAAAAACTTTGTATCGTTATATATATTTCGCAGTCTCGGGAGGGGTACTTTGAATTTCTCTATGAAGCAAGTTGAAAATTCAATTGGTAGTAATCTTTGTCGTTGTACTGGATATCGAGCAATTTTGGATGCATTCAAGGGATTTGCTACCGATGCACCTCTATCATTGATGAAGGACATTTACGACATTGAGGTGCTGGTGAAAAATTTATTTTCCATTTAAAAAATTTTATCATTATTTTGTAATTCCTTTTTTTGTTTAATTTTATTCTCAGAAAAATAATTTAAATTTATTATTACAGAAGTTAAAATTAATAAATCATTATTATAATAACTACTCACTAGTAGGGGAGAACGGGGTGGTGACGATCACTTAACAAGATTTATTAATATGATATTTTCAGTTAAAATTTATTTTTTTCTCAAATTTGTTGCGGAAGCAACAATGTATGTTTTTTTGTGTATATTTTTAATATAACTGAATATTACTCACCTTACTTGTTCACTCAAATAATCAACAATTGTTTCAATTATAAATTTGGTATGTTAGGCAAGTTATGAAGCATACGTGAATTATCTAACTTTTTTCGCGGCGCACATTTACGCACGCCTGTGCGCTGCAATCCACGCTCCATGATTTTCATGACTCCAATCGTCTACGTAATAAAAAAAAATTGTAGAAAATAACAAAATGTAGATAATCATATTTTGAACATGGCCGAAGACACTACTGCGTCGCCTAATTCAACTTTTTTTTTTATGAAAGGTTTATAGTACGGGAGGCCAAGCGGGGATTTTGGGATTTACTCGAGCGCGTCAGAATAACATAAAGGGGGGAATAACATATAATGCAAAAGCTTGCACCCTAATAAGTACCCCCACCAAATATTAAACCTCTATATAGAGCCGGGGGTCCAGGGGATTAGTAAATAAAAAAAATCGATCGTTCGAAAACTCGAGCGCGTCAGATTAAGGTATGGTGTGTTAATTACATATAGAAAAGTGTACATTTCAAAAATCTGACGCGCTCGAGATGCGCTCTAGAAATTTTTTTTTTTTCCCCTTTTTTGACCCCTTCCTACAGCTAACCCCACCACGTAAACCGTCAGATTAATATTTATCCGTTATCAGAAATACATGGGTCGCTTACACTATTAATATTTGACACGCTTCGAGTATTGCATTGTCACTGTTTTTTTTTTGAAAGCCTGTACACGCTCCCCCACCACTGAAACGGCATACATCATATAACCTTTTTTTCTTTTTAGCATCTAATCTTCACAATACGACGCTCGAGTAAATCCACATTTAGCCTCTCGGCCTCCCCTACTATTAAGGAATCTAATTATATATAGTAATCATAAAGGACAGTCATGCATTTAAGCCCGATCTACAATTGCGTAAACGTAGTTGCAAGCGGTTGTAGTTATAAGAATTGATCAATGACAGTCGAATATTCTCCTCGTATTCAACTGTAATTAATCAATTCTTACAACTACAACTACGTTTACACAATTGTAGATCGGGCTTTAGTGTGCTAAAAACGTCATTATAATGTCATTACTTCTTACATGAATTGTTACTGAAAATTTTTATCAAACGTCTTTTTTGTAGTTATTCATATATATCTAATAATATATTATTTTAGATAAACTTTATATTACGTAAAACATTATATAAAAAAAATATATACTATTCTTTAAAATCCTTATAATATTAAGGTAATCGGTCCGATCCGCTGAGCGTTTTGATTCCGTTCTCCCCTACTCTACTCACATTGCTTTCATTCTACTGTAAATGTAAATGTAAAAAAATTTATTCGCAGGACTCATATCAGATCAAATCTTGCCGGAAATTCGGAATGCCATGCACACAAAGTTGCTACGATAAACCTTCCGATGATAATACAATGTTGAGCATAAAATTAGGAGACGCATACTTCTACAAAGTTTCCACGGTCGAGACTCTATTTGAGTTATTAAAAAATAATCCACAGGCAACGTATATATTAAATGGAGGAAATACTGCGCATGGTAAATTTTAATTTTTTTAGATGATGTGGACACTAACAAATATCCACATATATACTTACATTATAATATATTGTAGTAAACAAGATATGCCGCTAACACATGTTTCAGTAATGAATAGTTTTTTATCTGCGATGCATTAATGGTGCAATATTATCTTCTCATAAAAATAATATTGTATTAAAAAGTGGCAAATTCACTGATATAGTAGAAATAATTATATTTTATCTCACAAAATCTTTGAATTAAAGAATCTGTATATGGGGGAATATCATTCCATGCCAAGTGGGTCACCCAATTTTTGGGCTTTCTCGTTGCTCTTTTCGCTTGTCATTAGTAGGCATGAGAGGCAAGTTTGAAAATGAAATGTAGACGTTTTCTTATAGAAAATTGAACGCTCTTTCACGTAAGAATACTCTTTTTTCGATCAGATCGGTTTACGACGATGTTTATCAGTTTTGAAGTCTTCAAAATGGCGGCGCGCTTAAAAGGCCAGTCTCAATTTTCTTTTAATATAGCTCAAAATGTAGCCCTAGGTCTCTACTTTGTTACTCTAAAAGGACTTAATGGGACACGCATTCGTTTGGGAGTAAGAGCTAGGAAAGTGAGGCAATGTCGCTCCGTCACTCTACCGCGGTACTCACTTTCCTCACTTTCCTAACTCTTACTTCCAAACGAATGCGTGTCCCTTTAAGTCCTTTTAGAGTAACAAAGTAGAGACCTGGGGCTACATTTTGAGCTATATTAAAAGAAAATTGAGACTGGCCTTTTAGGCGCGCCGCCATTTTGAAAACTTCAAAACTGACAAACATCGTTGTAAACCGGTCTTATCGAAAAAAGAGTATTCTTACGTGAAAGAGTGTTCAATTTTCTATAAGGAAATGTCTACATTTCATTTTCAAACTTGCCTCTCATGCCCACTAATGACGAGCGAAAAGAGCGCTGCGACGAGAAAGCCCAAAAATTGACGGCTCTACAGTTCGGCAACTAGTTAGCCTAGAGGTATATTATTTGGCATAGAGTCTTTATTCATCAAACTGTTCAAGTTCAAGCAATATGAACGAAGTCCATGAAACTTCGCAAAATGGGTGGCCCACTTGGCATGGAATGCCCCATATATATTTTATTTTCGCTACTTACATTTCAATAATTAAGTGTGATGTATTCAAATACCGTTTTGTTAATAATTCTGCATTATATAATGACCTATTATGACAATAAAATTTAGCAAGATCTTACAAACACAAAAGTAATCTATTATTCTAATAATTCTATACTGTCAAATTCGACATTTATGTTAATTCAACGTTAAACTAAATTTAAAAAATAAGACGTATGTATATGATTTTGATGAATAATTAAATTTTGCAGGTGTTTATCGTTCGAACAAGAAAGATATGTACATTGATATAAACAACATTCCAGACATGAGTAACATTACAAAAACTGATTCGACTTTGGTACTAGGAGGAAATGTAACCCTTACCATAGCACTACAGACATTCCAAAAATATTCAACAGAAAGTGGATTTAAATATTTAAGTCAATTGGCCGATCATATAGAGATGATCGCAAATGTTCCCGTACGAAATATTGGCACCATAGCAGGGAATTTAATGTTAAAATACGAGCACAAAGAGTTCCCATCCGATTTGTTTTTGATATTACAGACAGTCGGTGCTCACGTACACATCCTGGAAACTCCCTCTCAGAAACAAAGTTTATATCTATGGGAATTTCTGGAGCTCGATATGCACCATAAAATCATTTATAGCGTTGTGTTACCAAAGCTTACTGACCAATACATATACAGATCCTATAAGATCATGCCTAGAGCCCAAAATGCTCGCGCTCACGTCAACGCTGGCTTTCTCTTCAAACTCGATACCAACGGAAAAGTAACAAAACCTTTACAAATTATTCATATTACGTTATCATTAACTACTCACTCACATTTTAATTTAGGAGACGCATACTTCTACAAAGTTTCCACGGTCGAGACTCTATTTGAGTTATTAAAAAATAATCCACAGGCAACGTATATATTAAATGGAGGAAATACTGCGCATGGTAAATTTTAATTTTTTTAGATGATGTGGACACTAACAAATATCCACATATATACTTACATTATAATATATTGTAGTAAACAAGATATGCCGCTAACACATGTTTCAGTAATGAATAGTTTTTTATCTGCGATGCATTAATGGTGCAATATTATCTTCTCATAAAAATAATATTGTATTAAAAAGTGGCAAATTCACTGATATAGTAGAAATAATTATATTTTATCTCACAAAATCTTTGAATTAAACTAATTAAAGAATCTGTATATGGGGGAATATCATTCCATGCCAAGTGGGTCACCCAATTTTTGGGCTTTCTCGTTGCTCTTTTCGCTTGTCATTAGTAGGCATGAGAGGCAAGTTTGAAAATGAAATGTAGACGTTTTCTTATAGAAAATTGAACGCTCTTTCACGTAAGAATACTCTTTTTTCGATCAGATCGGTTTACGACGATGTTTATCAGTTTTGAAGTCTTCAAAATGGCGGCGCGCTTAAAAGGCCAGTCTCAATTTTCTTTTAATATAGCTCAAAATGTAGCCCTAGGTCTCTACTTTGTTACTCTAAAAGGACTTAATGGGACACGCATTCGTTTGGGAGTAAGAGCTAGGAAAGTGAGGCAATGTCGCTCCGTCACTCTACCGCGGTACTCACTTTCCTCACTTTCCTAACTCTTACTTCCAAACGAATGCGTGTCCCTTTAAGTCCTTTTAGAGTAACAAAGTAGAGACCTGGGGCTACATTTTGAGCTATATTAAAAGAAAATTGAGACTGGCCTTTTAGGCGCGCCGCCATTTTGAAAACTTCAAAACTGACAAACATCGTTGTAAACCGGTCTTATCGAAAAAAGAGTATTCTTACGTGAAAGAGTGTTCAATTTTCTATAAGGAAATGTCTACATTTCATTTTCAAACTTGCCTCTCATGCCCACTAATGACGAGCGAAAAGAGCGCTGCGACGAGAAAGCCCAAAAATTGACGGCTCTACAGTTCGGCAACTAGTTAGCCTAGAGGTATATTATTTGGCATAGAGTCTTTATTCATCAAACTGTTCAAGTTCAAGCAATATGAACGAAGTCCATGAAACTTCGCAAAATGGGTGGCCCACTTGGCATGGAATGCCCCATATATATTTTATTTTCGCTACTTACATTTCAATAATTAAGTGTGATGTATTCAAATACCGTTTTGTTAATAATTCTGCATTATATAATGACCTATTATGACAATAAAATTTAGCAAGATCTTACAAACACAAAAGTAATCTATTATTCTAATAATTCTATACTGTCAAATTCGACATTTATGTTAATTCAACGTTAAACTAAATTTAAAAAATAAGACGTATGTATATGATTTTGATGAATAATTAAATTTTGCAGGTGTTTATCGTTCGAACAAGAAAGATATGTACATTGATATAAACAACATTCCAGACATGAGTAACATTACAAAAACTGATTCGACTTTGGTACTAGGAGGAAATGTAACCCTTACCATAGCACTACAGACATTCCAAAAATATTCAACAGAAAGTGGATTTAAATATTTAAGTCAATTGGCCGATCATATAGAGATGATCGCAAATGTTCCCGTACGAAATATTGGCACCATAGCAGGGAATTTAATGTTAAAATACGAGCACAAAGAGTTCCCATCCGATTTGTTTTTGATATTACAGACAGTCGGTGCTCACGTACACATCCTGGAAACTCCCTCTCAGAAACAAAGTTTATATCTATGGGAATTTCTGGAGCTCGATATGCACCATAAAATCATTTATAGCGTTGTGTTACCAAAGCTTACTGACCAATACATATACAGATCCTATAAGATCATGCCTAGAGCCCAAAATGCTCGCGCTCACGTCAACGCTGGCTTTCTCTTCAAACTCGATACCAACGGAAAAGTAACAAAACCTTTACAAATTATTCATATTACGTTATCATTAACTACTCACTCACATTTTAATTCTTCAAGTATTATTTGTTTATATTTATAATATTTTTTAAAAAGGTGTTGGAGCAGCCTAACATTATTTTCGGTGGCATCAATAAAAATTTTACGCATGCAAGTGTCACAGAAAAATTTTTGACGTCTAAAATTATTTTTTCATCTTCCCTGCTGAAGCAAGCTTTGGATTACTTATATGCCGATGTACAACCTGATCATGTTCTACCAGATTACTCACCGGAATTTCGCAGGACTCTCGCCGTAGGATTATTTTACAAGTGTGTAGTAAGCATCAAACCGGAAGCAGTATATCCTTTTTATTACAGTGGAGGCACTTTATTACAACGTAGTCTTTCTTCAGGTATATACATATAAAATATCCTGATTGCTTTTAAAGGTATATGTTCATTATAAAAACTTACATAAATTCCTGCACGTAATATACTTATAAGGCGATAAAAGACATTGCGCCACAGAAAATAAGGAACACTTTCAAACACTCCAAAAATTAAGCAATATTCAGAATATATGATCACGCAAGTAATCATTTTTGGTTCAATGTGTGTTCAATAATTCGGAAGAAAATCGTACAACATTCACTAAAAAAGCAAATTGAAAGTAAGGATACATTCTTTCGATTGTTGTAAACTGTAGACGTTTTCTTATAGAAAATTGAACGCTCTTTCACGTAAGAATACTCTTTTTTCGATCAGATCGGTTTACGACGATGTTTATCAGTTTTGAAGTCTTCAAAATGGCGGCGCGCTTAAAAGGCCAGTCTCAATTTTCTTTTAATATAGCTCAAAATGTAGCCCTAGGTCTCTACTTTGTTACTCTAAAAGGACTTAATGGGACACGCATTCGTTTGGGAGTAAGAGCTAGGAAAGTGAGGCAATGTCGCTCCGTCACTCTACCGCGGTACTCACTTTCCTCACTTTCCTAACTCTTACTTCCAAACGAATGCGTGTCCCTTTAAGTCCTTTTAGAG